TTTATATCCTAAAAATATAGATAATATCCAACAATCGCTTATTAATATAACCAATAATACACTCCATCAACTTCAACTTCAAACCTTGTTTACTACTCTTCTTAATTCTCTTTCACTTATTACACAATATTCTTCTACTATTTAACCTGACTTTCTTCTCCCTACTATTCTTGAAATATATTCCAACTTAATATATTATAATATTAAAACCCTACTTAACAAACAAACTAACTTGTTTCTTACTAATCTTTCTAACAATCTTTTAAACTAGTTTTACCAGGAAATATATGTTTACATCATTCTTTCTTTTAGTGACATTTTTAACTCTTTCACTTTGATCGAAAAATCTTTACTATAACTATCATTATATTTTTATATTCTAATATATTAAATAAAAACGTGATTATTAATAGATAATTTAATATAAATAAATCACTTTTTTTTTGTTTTTTTTCTTCTTTTAATTAGATACCAAATATCCAATAACCAATTGTTTTTCATAATCTCTTTGTTTTTTTTTTCTCTTTTATTTTTTGGATATTCATAATCACTTTTTTTTTTTCTCAACTAAATACCAAATACCCAATAACCCTATTGATCTTCTTTTTCATTTTTTTGGTTACTTGCAATTGCTTTTCTTTTTTTTCAACTAAATACCAAATACCCGATAACCCTATTGATTTTCTTTTTTGTTTTTTAGTTACTTGCAATTGCTTTTCTTTTTTTTCTTCAAATACTCAACTCAATTTTCAACCTTTTTTTTTTGAAAACTTACTTTTTGAAAAATACATAGTAAAAGCACTTACAAAATTAATATTGTTTTAAGTCAATGTTAAGTTTCACCATTTATGCCACCACCTCAAAGTACACCATTTCGATCATCAACATCTTATTGTAGATCTTAGCAATAGTAAAAATCATTAATACCAGCTCACTAAAACAACTGTTGATTAAAATCACCACCTCTCCAAAACAACTATTAATTACAGCAATAGCAAGAATCAGTAATACCAGCTTACCGGAACAATTATCGATTAATAACACCACCTTGTTATTCATTAACTTCAGTTAATAGACACTGGGATAACGAAAGTCATAGTTAAAAATCACCTTCTCCAACTTATGTATGTTCTTGCTATCGATTAAGAAGTCTTAATGCAAAAAATCAATATAACTATATATAAAAGTTATTATGATCAAACTATTAACTTACTAATATGTTTAACAAAAATTTTATATATTAATAGAAATCTCTCTTTTAAAAAACACTATACAAAGTTTGATTAATGAAGTTGCTAAATTAAAATCTGATAAATCAAATACATCAAATGATCTATTAACACAAAATAATTCACTAATACAAATTGATTCACCTATACAAAATGATCCACTAATATAATATAATCAGGGTTGGTCAAATTGCTGGTCAACCAAAAATTCATTGGTCAAACTGGTCTGATCAAATTGGTCAAATGGTCTGGTCAAATTGGTCAAATGATCTAGCCAATCAAATTAATTTAAAGAAAATTTTTTTTCTTTACTAAGTAAACCTCTTTTTAACATCTAAGTAAAGTTGTAGAGAAGTGTTTTGCGATCAAAATAGTGATTAAAACATTAAAATCAGCCTAGTGAATCATGAGATATAAGGATTTTAGTCTTTATGACTATCTTTATTTATATAAATAAGAAAATATATAGTTATGAAGACTAAAATTCTTATATATTATGATCTACTGGCTGATTAATATTTTAATTGCTATTTTGATTGCAAGACACTTCTCTATAACTTTATTAAAAAAAGATGTTTACTTGATAAAAATACAGTATTTGACTAATTTAACTATAGTCAAATTGGTCAAATTGGTCAAACTTAATCTAATTGGTTCATATAATTAAATTACCTTTTCTGAAAAAAAACTCACTCTTTTTAAATACTACTAATCTCAAATACTACATCATTACATCTTAAAATCACATAATCATATAATACATCAAACAGAATTCTACAAAAAAATTATTATACATTAAATAGCAAAATTATACAATAATACATTATAAATTAATTACTATATACCTGAGACAAAAAACTACTCTGATACTTCTATATCAGGCAGCTAAAATTCTAATTTGAAATTCTCAAAAAAAAGTTTTTTTTTAATAATTCAGAGAATTAGAGATGTACTTCATGAGGTAAGACTAATATGTATTCTACAAATCATATAACTTTATACAAGATATCATTTCTAATCACTATGTTTTTTTAATAAAAATTATTTTGCATGAGATATGATGTGATTTGTGCAAAGATTATTTTCAAGGCATATCTCTAGTTAGAATTCAAAATTTTCAAATCTTTAAAGCTCCCAAACTAGTACTTCGATCTGCAATCTGACTAATTCAGATTAGTCTAATAATTCGGACTAAATGTGGATATCCTTATCTGTCAATTTTAAACAGATAGATTCGTAATATATTTCGGATTGAGAATGAAAAATATTCAGATCATAATCCTTACAATATGCCTGCTATGATTTTGAATGGTTGATACTAATAGACAGAAGATATAATTTAATATTATACTATGCATTACTATAGACCGCTTTTTGTAATATAGCCACCTACTGGTAATTTACTATAAAAGTTTTGTTTTATTTTTTTTTGGTTTTTTTTTTAAAAAGAATAAAGAATAAAAAAAATCTATATCACAGCTGATGCTGAAAATGTAGAGAACTTTTGGATCAATAACTTTCTGAATTGAATTCGAATCAAATTCGAATTTATTCAATTCGAATTATAACCAGATTTGTGAAAGAGGATCTGTATTCAATCCAGATAATTCTGAAAAATTAAGATTGAAGCTCTATCCCAAACATCTGTATTACAGTATAATTAATTAAAGTCAATTTTGTAGTGATTCATATTATGAAACGTAAATATTAAATTTTAACTATCAGCACAACTCTGATAAAAAAGGTAAACTCATCTCTTTTTTATGAACTCACTTGTCTGGCTAAACTATTTTTTACTAATTAAAAATTGAGCCCACCTAATTTAGATGCTTGGAAGCACCCATAACTGATATATTTACTCTTATGCAATACAGAATAGAAAATTTACAAATACTGTACACATATAGCCACATTGAAAACTATACACATTTCTTCTAGAGTACATAAGCCATATTTCTTGGCTTGTGCATTCAAGTTGGATTATGAATTTGTTAATAGTAAGTCAATTAATTGGCTTCAATTCTGTAAATCTTTTATAAAGCATATATTCTAACCAGAATTTTACAATTATTAATTAATCATAACTTACATATTACATTACTGTTAAAAAAAATTCTTTTTGGTTAAAATAAAAATTGTGCTATAATGATACAGTTCTAAGGACTACAGTACGCAATTACATTTTTTAAAGTATATAGTATAAACAAAATTTTTTTAACTACCAGTACTGATTATCAATCAGACCAATTTGATCGTGATTATACTTGTTGGCAAAACTATTAGAATTTGGGAGAGATTTTAGTTTTGCCAACAAGTATGATCGTAATCATATTGGTCAAATTGGTCAAGTTATATTATCATTTAAATAAGTAAAGATGGGCCTTTTAAATGTATAACACCCCATATATTACTATTGAAATTTTTTTTATATGCACAACGCCATTTATTTAAGTTAGCACTCTTGTAAAAAAAAAAAAAAATTTTTTTTTAGACCAATCTAACTAGAATTTTATAGCAGGTTTTATCCTGTCTTATAATTATATGTTACTGTTGAAAATTTTTTTATATAGTTAAATAATGCAATAATAGTATAGTTCAAATTCCAAGTATATGCGCTTTATTTAAGTTCAAAAGTTAGCACTCTTAAAGTAGTAAAAAAAAATAATTTTAACTACCGATCATCAATCAGACCAATTGACCAATTTGACCGCGGTCAAATTGGTCAAATCGGTCAAGTTACACAAAATAGCTACTGATCTGACCAATTTGACCAATTTGATCACGGTCAAATCAGTCAAATCAGTCAAGTTATACAAAATGGCTACTGATCATCAGACCAATTTGACCAATTTGACTGCGGTCAAATTGGTCAAATTGGTCAAGTTACACAAAATAGCTACTGATCTGACCAATTTGACCAATTTGACCGCAATCAATCAGTCAAATTGGTCTGATGATCAGTAGCTATTTTGTGTAACCTGACCGATTTGACCACAGTCAAGTTAAATTATTAGATATCACTACGAAAAGCACTCACACTACTTGACATACGTAAATGTATTGAATACACAATCACTTTCAGGAAAATGCTATAAAAAGCATTCAAGTTACATGACGTACGTACGTATGTACTTTTTTGGACTGCCAGTTCTCTAAATATGGTATATATCAAATTCACTGAATATTTTTGTTCCCACCTGAATATTTATTGATGAATCATTGGAGACTGGAGATTAACCAATTTAGTCAGAATGGTAGCAATCGTGATTGTACGAAAATTACCTTAGGATTAATGGTTGTCATTCTTTACCTGTAAAAGTAAGGCAGATGTGAAGAAAAATGGCTATATATGTATGTGCACATGCACTTGCTTCCTTCATTCACTCAACATTTCACTAGTAGGTCATTTCTCATCTGCAAAGCAAGGCGGCTATGAACAAAAAAATAAGAAAAATAGCAAAATTACGTGTGTATACGCACGCACGCTTGCTTTCTTTAATTGCCTAATATTTCTGTTGTGATATATATTAACATTCATTATTTTTTATTTGTATTCAATCTTCCCACGCCGTATTCCTGTTATATCTCGGTTCATCTTTGTTGATGTTGTGCGTAGTGAAACTGAAAAGCCCTCTTTGGTTACGTGTCCTGCCATCATTTTGTATTAAAAATTGGGAACTGAAGTATAGAGTGCATTATAATAATTGTATATGAATCGTCATTATATAAATAATCGTTCAATAATTTCCATATTACAAGTAAATTTCAAATATGCCTCAAGCTTATAATCATAGATTAACAAAATATATTCATGTACAAAATGATTTGAGCCCAGCACAAAAAGCTAAGCGGGCTATATGTAAAGCCTGTGAAAGCAAAGAAATTTATTTCAAAGAGAAGAAAATGAAGGTCTTGCATTATGGCAAGTCTACAAAAACTGGAGATTTTTTAATAGATGGGACCGTGTACAATGGCATTGGAAAAAGTGTCTATATTGGCGTGAGTTTTGGATTGAAGAAGACCAAGAAATAATGACGTATCCTGATCCTGATGAAACAATAGCTCGAAATGCAGTTATAACATTAAGACAAGCAAGAACTCAAAATAATACATTATCTATATCTATTGCTTCTTCAGGTTCTAGTGCTAGAATTTCAGATACATCAGAATTAACATCAGTATCATATAATATAAAACAATACGAACCAAACAAACAAATACATCCCTAGATACCTATTTTGTTGTTCGTCAATTATTACCTACTGAACAGAATGAATTTCATCGTCGACTTCTTCGTATGATAGTTAAAAATGGCATCTAATTTCAATTTACTGAAACCAAAACACTTCATGAATTTGTTGCTTTTTTTAATACCACTGTTAAAATTCCAAGTCGACAAACATTAAACAAAAAAATTTTTAAAGAATATGCTGAAAAATCAGAAAGCGCTCAAGTCTCTACTCTTTTAGAAACGCAAGAACCAGTTACTATTATGTTTGACGGGTAGAAGAATGTGCGCCGTCAAGAAATTTTGGAAGCTGTTATTCTTTCAGCAACAAACAGATTAAATGTATGGGGTGCTAAAGACATAAGTAGCACTAGTCAAAAAACAACTAATGTATTAAACACAATTCGTACTTTTTTAAAACGTGCAAAAAAACAAAATCTAAATGTAGTAGCTATGGTAACTGATAGTGCATCATCTTACGCATCAGCACGGTATGACATTCTCTTAAAATATATGTTTTTTTAATTAAAATAAATAATAGTAATGAGGGGTTTCAGAATAAATCTAATTTTAATTGAAATAGATGACGTATTTATTTTCAAATAAGGTTGCATCAATTTTTACCGATATAAAATTTACTTATCTTGCCAAATAAACGACACCAAGAGAATAGGGATTAGAACCGTTTAACCGCATAAAATTTTTTCATAGTTCCAGGCCAAATTATGTTAATTGTGGGCCAGGATTATCTTAATGCCAGCTAAATTAAGTGGTTAAACAGTTAAACGATTAAATGATTAAGAGAATTTTTAGGCGAAGGCACTCCAATTATATAAATTTTATATGATTTGAGTGCCTTTTCTCTTGGCATCACTCAAATGAGAATCGTTAAACACTTCTATTTTATTTTCTGATTTCAAAATTTTGATAAAATTTTTTAAATGCTCATTTACAGTATTTCCGAAATATGCTATTTTTTTTTTAATTCTGATACCCCTCAACAATAAATGTTTTCATTTAATATATTTAATTATTTAAATTATTAATTAGACGTAAAATACGATTAGAAAGACCAGATCTTGTATTCCTGCCATGCTTTGCGCATCAGGCCAACCTATGCATTGGAGATATTTTTAGATGTTCATCACAATACAAATGTGCGGCAGAGCAGGCAATTAAAATAGCAGCATATTTTACTGACCGAAGACATTCAAAAGCAATATCCTTACTTCATAATGAGCAACAAAGAATTTATAAGACAATTTATAGCTTTGTTTGCCCTGTAATCACCTGTTGGAATTCCTACTATTATTGTTTCACTGCCCTTAATAGAAGTAAATGGGCTTTACAATCGTATTCAATTCTTTATTTAAATTCAAATAAGCTATCAAGTAAAGCACGAACTGCTATAAATAGTGTGGCATTTTGAAAGAATGTTGATGAGATTACTGATTGTTTGTTGCCATTTGTTAGTATTTTAGATTACCTTTAGCATGATGCTGCAAATCTTTTTGATGTAACTTATTCATTTACATATATTGCACAACAGTACGAGAATGAAACTGATGGGTTTGGTTATGCAATGCTACAGAAACTTGAAAAGCATTGGGCTAACTGGGAACAACCATTGCTTTTTTTAGCAGTTATATTTTATCCACAATATTGAGTTCATGCTTTATCAGACCAAGCTTTTTTTAGTCTTGAACGAATAGCTAGCTGGATTGAATATTATTACGAAATGTGGTTTAGTAAAAAACCAAAACATATCGCATTGGAATTAACAGAATATTATATGAAACGGAGGCATTTTCACTGACGAACGGTTTAATAATACTCTTGAAGCAATTTCAGAAGAACATAATGTACAAAGTAAGGTATCAAATAGTGTAGTTGGGCTTGCACTAATGCGGTATTGGGAGTTTGCTGCACTTAATCTAAAAGAAATTGGCAAGATTGCACTTAGGTTGTACGGCATTAAAGTCAATTCAGCCCCATGCGTACGACTTTTTTCTCGCATGAGGTGGTTAACCCTAAACGATGTCGCCTTAAGGTAAGGATTGAGTTATCGATTCCTATAGCTATTACGTCCAAAATGTGGTGTATTAATTAAAATTTTATTCTTTAGTTCCTACATAGGATTAAATTCTATCTCATAAGTACCAAAGTAATCTTTATATCTTTCAAATTCATATTTTAAATTACATT